CAAACGGTGCCAGCCAATGGGAGCGGCTGGTGCTCCCGCTCAAACAACGGACCTGGTTGGGGACTCCAACCAGTTCCAAAGACATAACAAGATCCAACTCTACTGCCGAGTGTGGAAGTTTAAAAAAAAAAATCCTGTTTGTCTTGCAACTTTATGTGTCAGGAATAGAAGAAAGGAGAACTTAATTTGCGCCAACCACATGAAATGATTGAAGAAATGAAAATGAAGGTGCATGATACCATTGGCAGAAAGTGACTAAATTGATTTTGATGTCATGATATCAAGGTGAGGAAAAACAGAGAAGAGCACACAATTTTTACTGGAAGGGAAAAATGGGAGACATCTAAAAAGCGTTCTAAAAGGCTGAAAAGGAAAGGGTAAAATATGTAAGAAATAAAAGGAAAGGCATATAATCAAAGAAGGACACAAGGCAGTCACCAGAAAGCAGAATTTTGTCAAAAACACTGAAAGTCTAAATAAGCTGAGGCTTGTGAGAAATGCCCCATACCTGAAAGAAGAATGAAGAGTTTATATTATGAAGAAAAAGAAATTAATTTGTAATGGATGGTGACAAGACAACAGGACATCTTAACTTTGTATTTTATATCCATTTGTCTCAGAAAAGAACAAAGAATTAGCTAGCCACCATCGTTCCGCTAGTGAAAGGAGAGAGAGGCAGCTCAGAGTACATATTGAGAAGGTTTTTTAAAAACCCCATTTAGTTGATTTAAGTGAATTCAATTCTTCAGGGTCAGATGAATTACATCTTAGCTTACTTAAGGAATGAGTAAAGATTACTGTAGAAGTGCTAACTTTTGAGAACTACTGAGGTCTGAGAAGACCAGAGAATAGCAAATCTTCAACAACAACAAAAAAAGGATCTGGGAAATTGTAGATCTATCCATTTGCCATCTGTATTCAGAAAGATGATAGTGATTTTTAACTATCAAGTTAGTGAGGACATAAATAAGTGTTAATCAATTAGCAAGAGCCAGCAATTTCATTATCTAAATTCTGGCAATATTTCCCCAGATTCCCAGTCTAGACTCCTAGATTCCATCCCTAGATTTAGAAGGATTTCAAAGTATTCTTCTGGCTGTCCTAGTGTTCACAGGCAATTGTTTTTCAGTTGAGGAGGTGGACACTTCATGTGTTATTCAGTGTAGAGAAAAGTAAAGTCCTATACTTAGGCAAGAAAAACCAAAAGTACACATATAGAAACCAGGCTCAATGGAAGTAACTGTGAGAGGGATCTTTGAGTCTTAGTGTATAACCAGCTAAATATGAGCCAGCAGTGTGCAGCAGCAGCCAAAAAAGCTAATGCAATCCTAAATTGCATTAATAGAGGGATTCAGCTGAGATCAAGTGAGGTACTAATACCACTCTATAAAGCCTTAGTAAGACCACACCTAGAGTACTGCGTCCAGTTTTGTTCACCACTTTACAAAAAAGATGTTGAGACTCTAGAAAGAGTACAGAGAAGAGCAACCAGGATGATTAGGGGACTGGAGACTAAAACATATGAAGAACGGTTGCAGGACCTGGGCTTGGCTAGTCTAGTAAAGAGAAGGACCAGGGGAGACATGATAGCAGTGTTGCAATATTTGAGGGGCTGCCACAGAGAGGAAGGGGTCAAGCTATTTTCTAAAGCACCTGTAGGCCAGACAAGGAATAATGGATGGAAACTGAACAAGGAGAGATTTAACCTGGAAATAAGGAGAAACTTTCTGACAGGGAGAACAATCAACCACTGGAACAGCTTGTCCTCGGAAGTTGTGGGAGCATCATCACTTGAGACTTTCAAAAAGAAATTGGACTGCCATTTGTCAGAAATGGTGTAGGGTCTCCCGCTTGGGTGGGGTGTTGGACTTGATGACCTACAAGCTCCCTTCCAACTCTGATTATCTGTTATCTGTTTGCAGGACTCTTCTCAGCCCAGGAAAAGTAATGGTTATGGAACAATGAAAAGTATATCATCCATATTCAGAACAAATCATTTCTAATGTGACAGCTAACACTACGTGAAGCACCATAGAGCTAGTTTAAGTATAGTGATCATCTTATGCTCTTAGGACCATAACTTCCTCCATCACTGTTAATCGCAGAAAAAGCTTCTGCTGTTGAATATTGTATTTAATAGCAACTTCTGCTATTTACTTATATGTTATACATGCCACCAAGGTACACCATCATACTCCTGTATCCTAAACCAATTACATTAATACTAATAAGTCTGATTATTAAAAGAAAAGGAATTCATGTACGCTTAGCAAATTATAAAATATTTATTGCTTTACATGCTTTGTGTAAAAAAGGATAAAACACATGAACTGACTCATTGACCTTTTTCTGAACCCAAGCTATTAATCAGAATATAATAGGAAACAGAACAGCAGCTTGTTTTCTGTAAGTGGAACAACATTATCTTTGTTTTTCAGATGTACTTACAGTATTTTTGCAGTATATTTGCAGAAGACACAGCACCACCACCACCCTTTTTTTCTCCCCTCCCTATTCAATTTCCCCCCCATCAGAGCCAATCTATGTGGATTTCTTTGGCAATTTGGCTTGGCCATTTCAATATGCACAATATCTTCAGGAAGAGATGGGGAGAAAAATTGCGGTGCTCTTTCAGGTAATCCAAGAAATGGTCTTTTCCCCCCCATTTTTCAGTAAGTCTCCTCCAAGGTGTGACCCACCCTAATGCAATTTAGGGCTGGTTCAGTGGATTCTGACATTTATTGAACACTTCACATCTATCAGTATAAGCCCCATAAGCATTGTCTTCTGCTTCTGCTTAACATCACATGACATATCCTGACTTTTCCCCCTTCGCTAAACCAGGTGTGGATGTGGCCAGTGCGTGACACATACAGCCCATGGGTTTGACAGCCCTGACATAGGTGATGTCAGCCAAATCAGGAAGACCAAACAGGAAATACAACCAGACAATTCAATTCTACTTCATTGTAAAGTGACATTAACAGAACCCTGAATGTCTAAAAGTACAATTCTCCCACTTTCATCTTTTCAGCCCAAGAATTTAGGGAGGATCCCTCTGAGCCTCTTGCCCCACCTGGTATCCTGCTGTGGGCTATGCTGTCTCTCATCTGAATATGAGACAGCATTTCTTTGTCCCACCTCACAAGACCCTTCCAATACACTAGGTGCTTGCCATTTCTGCAGTTTCTTTCAAAGTATGGTGATTTATAATAATTGATAATGAAGAAATAAGTGTCAGATCTTTGAGTAGTAAAAATAAAATGTAGCTGATTTTGCAAATAGAGCAGCAGCTTCAAAAAGCAGAACCCAGATTGGAAGACAATAGAAGTACTACCTGAAACATTCCACTGCGTTATAGAACAATAACGGGAGTGGGGAAACTGGCAAATGGGGTGTAAAATCATAAATGAAAATTATAATGAAAATTAAATTCACATCTCTAAAGTGAACTTCCATATCTAAACATCTGAAATGGGATAGAATAGTTTAGCATAAGAAAAGGTAGCAAGGCATTTTGTGTTGAATGGAGTCACAGTAGAAGCAGGAAAAAAAAAACCAATATTTTTAGAAATGTAAAGCCTGACGTACCATTTATGAGTACTCGAGTGGAATATTGACTTTACTCCAAGCTCTTATTTCTCACATCTAACGGATTAGGATCCTTTGACACAATTAAGTACAATTGCATCCATTAGGCAAAGGATTGTGTGAGAACAGAAATGGCATATAAATCAACAAACTAAATAGGAGAGTGCAAGAACATCGTATTTCACCCATTCTCTTCTCTGAAAGATTTCTAAAGTGCATTATTTTTCATCAAACTGAATAATAACCCATCAAAAATAAGGCAGAATTTCTCTGCTTTGTATTAGCTCCTGGCAGAAAGCTATTTAACTTCTTTTTGAACATATTTATAGAGAAAGCTTTCTAAGTTCTACTACTGAATTACCTTCACTTGGAGGTATGGCTTTTGTCTGATTTGCAACTATTTTTACTTACTTATTAAATAATCCAATATATATTGCTGCTCATTTGTCAAGAAAGTCTAGGCAGCAAACAAAATAAAAATAGAATTTTTTAAAAAACGGTAATGGACTAAAATTGCATTAAGGCTCAGTAAAAACACAGAATCATTAGATACATAATTTATGTTGGAGTTCCCATGCTAATATCCCAACTCCAAATATTTGGGAGAAAGGCCAGATTTTATAGCCTTGCAAAAAGCCAACAGAGTAGGAGCTGTCCATATTTTTTAGTTGGGAGCCTATTCTATAGGGTAGGCAGCATAACAGAGAAGGCATACTTCCAGGGAACCACCAGATGGTTTTATCGATTGCACTTGGAATATGTTCACTCTGCCAGATCTGAAACTATCAGTCACTCAGAAACCACAAGGCAGCTCACAAGTAACTGGTTCCATCATGCCACATAGGGGTTTAAAAGTATCAACCAGCACCCTGAGTGCAGTTCATGTAGGAGCAATATTACATGGGTATACCATGGTGTGCTCAAAACTGAATCTGCTGATGCATTCTGGATCAGAAGAAGCATCCAAAGCTTTTCAAGGTAGCCCCACAAAGGCACCCCAAATGTATGAGTGACTACGAGCAGTGCAATGGGTTCACAAAATATATTTGTATGAAAGCTCTCCTCTAGGATCATACACACCTGTGTCATCCTGATCATTAACTTACTCTTCTGAAAAATCAAGTTCTACTTCCCTTGGTCATATATAAAAGGACTTGGATTGTAGGCCAATTTTCTTTTTACCAGCTACCTTTGTTGATTCAGAATATAAGAGCCAAACACAATACACAGAGTAATTCCTTGTTATGGGACAGATATATTTTCAGTACATACAACCTGGAATGCAACAAAGAAAGTTGTCTATTAATCAAAAGAGTTATTGTATATTGACTCTAGTTTCTTTTCTTACCTTTAAGAGTTGCTTTCTTAAGTACCTTCATTGCATAGAGCTGCCCAGTATCAGAACCTTTGATTTTTCTCACTAGAAATACCTGTGGGGGGAAAAACCCAAAGGGCATTTTAATGAAGTACATTTAAAATAATGATACTTGTTTCATTTGCTTAATGTAAAGTGAACCTGCCAGGTATGTGATCATGTAAGTATGCATTTCTCTATTCTTCGGTATTAATTATTAATTTAGACAATTCCTTAACAGTTCATTGTGGCTTATTTAAAAATAAAAAAAACCCAGAACAGTATAACCAAAACAAGAAATACAAAACAAAGATAAAAAGCACCTGATCTCAAAAGAGTAATAGAAACAGCTGTCCTCACAATCCCTATAAAAACAGCCAAATTCACAATTGATTTTTAACAGTACGCTTACACGTTCTCTTAAAAAATGGGATGGAATACAAGAAAGCCTTACAGGAAATTTAAGCCTAAAATGGGTAAGACTTATAAATCATGAAGGACACTAGATATGGGCTCAGAAGACAAACACAGGCGATATGTGGGATTTTTAAAAGAGGCTCCATTTACCATTTGGGCCATTTTTGGAGCCAGTAATAATTTTAAGGACTAATGCTCTATAAGTAGAATCTCAGAGACTAATACTCAGAAAAATAAATAAGGGTTGATTCAAAATCAAAGTTTTACCCAAGAGTTCTTTAATATAAACAGGCTTCTATATAGGTTTTGTGCTTCAGATATATACATTTGCCCATACTGATAGAGAATTAAGGATTTTAGTGGCAAAAGGAAATCAAAGGAGAAAAGTTTTATTTATTGATATTTCATATTTCTTAATTGTCCATCTCCCTCAGAGAGCAGGTCTAGGTGATGCTAAGATTCTGATTTTTTCCAAATAATGTTTTTTATGTGCTGAATAATAGAACAAAGAGTTCCAAATGAAAAATAAGATATAAAATATGCTTTAGTTTAATTTTACAGAATTTGATATCCATTCTTAATGTCTAAATGACAGGAACAAAAACAAATGTACTGATTCCCCACTCCCTAAAGTAAAAATGCACATATGTACACTAGCTAATATTCAGACCATTGTAAAATCTCAGGCCTTAGTTCAGACTTTGCAACAACAAATACCTCAAAACTGCAAAGTATATCTTCTTGACAAACTCTTTTAAAATTTTGAAAGTTTCTTCTCTCCATAGCTGATTTAGGAAAAGCCAACCTCTTGCTCAGTAACAGATTTCTCTCTAGCAATATCCGCTGAAAGAGGCACAGCTGGAACTAACAAAGTTAGCGATGTATTCTTTCAGTAAGTGCTCTCAGAGGGAAAGATCTGCATTGGATTACATATTTTTAAAAATCACTGTTCACAGGAATTTACCTTGCTTGCTTTCAAGCATCCTAATTAGAAAAAAAGCCCTTTCCTTTGCTAGTTTAATTTCCAACCTATTGTGCTCAGAAATCCAACTCACTGGTTTAAGACTGCAACTAGATTGCAATAGTTCAGAAGATAGTAAGACAAATATTCAATAAATGCTGTCATATAAATTTCTAAAGTAGTTCATTTTTGTTGAGAAAGTAGTCATCTTATTTTTAATAATTCCTCAATGGTTGTTCAGTTTTTGAAATACCCCTGACTAATATTTAAAGGCATTCAACCTTTAAGATTATATAGGAATTCTTCACAAATTAAAATATCTGCAAGTTTTTTTAATCAACAAACTTTTGAAGAGTGAATTATATTATGTTCCATGAGTGGGAGAAGAAGAGTGGGAATAAAAAAAAATCAATACACAGCATTTGATTTTGCCTTTCTATAACTATAGAAAGCATAGCTGTAAATGTGACTTCATATTAAATAAGATAGTCATTTATCAGCTGTTCTCTGTAATATTGGGTAATATTGTATTTGACTGTATTTCTCTCAAAGCATGTGAATCAAACAATGTTTAAGAAGATATCTATTTATCATATCTATAAAAATACAACAAATGAAAAATAATACACAAAACATTATTACCTGCTCATTCCTACCAAAGGCTATCAATTGCAGAATAATTTCTTATAATTCCATTAGCTGAAAAACTGATTGCCTTGAACAAAGGTGCATTTTAGAAATATGGTATACTAACTTGATAGATGTGGAACATTGAAGTATTGAAAAGTTGTATGGATTCATGCTAGATGAAGAATACTTTATCAATCTCTCCTCAAAGAGTATTGGGTTTGAAAGGGAAATTGAAGGAGAATCTGATTCAGTTACCAATGACAGATCTCAAGAGTCTAATCAGTGCTTTCCTTCCAATTTTGTAGGTTGTATCTAATATAATTAGAAGAAACCTTATCCAAAAATATCTTCCCTGCTTCCCTATTTCAAATCACTATATTCTCTGAAAATGCTCTGTGGGGAATCAAAGTTCTCCTTAATAACTGGAGTTAAATTGAAAGTGTAGGCTAAGTGGAGGAAACTGTGGCATCTGGGACGCCTTTATTTTGGTTCATATAATCCATTGACAAAGTAAAACTATTGTACTAAAGCTGAGGGTCTGAGTCAAGGTGGAATAATAGAAGGTACCAGAAGAGTTGGATGTTTCCTTCATTCTCCATAGCTTTAAAGGCCCTATCCTTGAGGAAATGTTAGCCTGATCTTTGAAAAAGAAGTGAGGCTGCTTTTATATTTATGGCAACATGAAGGAGAGTAAGGAAAGAAAACCAGGTACAGAGGAAGAGATGAGTCAGGAGGGGAAAAAAGGGGGGGGAGCTGAAAATGTGACCCTACATATGAGTCAGAGGATGTATCTCTCTCTAATGAAGATGTGGTTCCTATTTCAGAGATGAGTGAATGAATGTTGGTCTGATTATCTGGATATTATGAATGCAAGAAAGTTTCACAACAGATTCAACTTTTAGAATTCCAACCTAAACACACTGCATTTTGGGAACTGATCCACCAACTTTGAAGACACCAAATTGGAAAAAGCACATAAGACATTACCTTTCCATAGGAACCTTGTCCCAATACTTTCAGGAGCTCAAATTGAGAGGGATCTGCTTTTTCGAAACCTTCTTTGACATGGTGACTGATGTCTATCTCCTTTACGATGCTTTCTTCCTGTGAATGAAAAAATAAACCAAGGCACAGTTCATAGCCTGGATAAAATTAATTATGTCACTTAATTCCAACTGCTATTCTTCTGTTCAGTTTTTACTTCAAGGCTAAGCATTATACTTGTGTGGAACCTATTAGTTCTATCCATCTTTGTGCACAAATATTTTCATTTCACATGTTAATCATATTGAACCTGACTGTGATTTACTTTCATCTATGAAATATGTTGTTTTATTACTAAATTTAAAGAAAAGTAAGCCTGTAAATCAAAACACAGCAGTCAGTTCATAAAGCTGCTAGGCCTGAATAAGCTATTCTATGACAAATCTTGGGGTTTTTTTCAAGGTAGAAGAAAACAAAAGACAGATATTACTGTCATCAGATTTAGGGGTTAATTAGTAGATGCACCATAGAAGCAATTATTTTGGAAGGTAAAATACCCCCCAAAAAAAAACCCTCAAATTTGACTAAATTTCAGCTAATAAGTGCACAATATTTAGTTCCCTTGGTCAGCCACATAATAAGGGCAAATCATTACTGCTGATATGTCATATTTTAAAGTTGGCTCTTAAAGAACCCAGAATACTTATACTCTAATTGTAGGTTCAGATCTGTTAAATCTAGTAGGCTGAATTACAGCTAATAAAGACTGCAGTAAGGAACTCCCTCCAGTTAGTTCAGAAGAATACTTGACAAAATTTATGTACAGATGTCCCCAGTTCACAGAGGGGTTAGAAAGAACTTTTCACCTCAGTGCTAACTCAGCATTATAAGCAACCTTACATTTCATGTCAGCTGTAACATCTGGCTGAATTTTCTTCCTATAGATCATCTTTAAAATTCTTAATGTTTTATATATTCCAACTGGATCCAATATAGGTCAAGAGATTTCTAATTTCTTACATTATAAAGCTGAATATATATTGGATACTTTAATCATTGCTTTTTATAAAAGGTACTAAAATGAAGATAAATTGCTATTAATTATGAGCACACAGTGCTATAAATTCATTCAGTTAGGACAAGGAACATTGTCACCAAAAGCCAGACTGACGTTATTCTCACATAGACAAAGAAAACAGATTTTTCTCAGGAGAAAAGCTGAACAATAACTAATGATGTATTCCTTAATGTGTAACACTGAATAATACCTGCCAGCCTCAGATCTTGTTAAGCCTTTTTGTTCTGCATAAAGTGTTATTGTTGTATGCTACATAACTTAAACTGTCTGATTAAATGATGCAGATTGTCTTTTATGAATCTATGATTGAGGTCACTGCTAGCCTAATCACCTTTCAGACCTGGAAAAGGTGAAGAATATCTCTGCCCAGAGCAACAAGGTGTCTTGGATTAGCTTTTATAAATAGTCACTTTACATATATAAACAATTACTGGAGGGGTTTTTTAATTAAAAAAAATAGGATATAATAAATTCCATTTACAAAGGACAGAGTTGAACATACATTATTGCTGAATTCGTCTTTGTTATAATCTTGTTTCCAGATATGAACTCAAAATCATATTAAAATTTTCTTTACTGTTATTTTTGAGATTGGCAAAGCAACTAGAAAAACAGATATAGGCTAAATCACAAGGTTTTAAAACAAAGTTTGTTGATTAGCCCATGGGAACCTGGTTTCAATATTACTATTAAATTACAGTCCACATATATTCAGGCAAAATATACATTACATGGATCCTTCTCACTCTTTTCTTAATTAGCCTTTTTTCTTCTTTTTTAAAATCATGTTTAGTTTCTTTACATCGCCAGGGTTTTCTTCAGTGTGCAACCATTTTTTTCTGTTGATATTGTGGGATATTTTTTAATATTTTACTATTACAAATAAAATACAAAACCAAAAAGAAACAAGTCATATTATGACTGGGTATAATGTGTGAATGTGATCCAAGGCTGCCTAAATTGGTTTCAGGTATAAAGTAAAAGAGAGAAGTACCATACTGAACTTTGATGTACTCTGAATATGTGATCTGTTTTAAACCTGTTTGATTGTTTTAAGTTCTGCTTTTATCCAGGCTGAGCAAATATTTTATGGAGTGCTAGAACAATAATCCACCCAGGTTCTAAAAACCTGCTTTGGTTACAATTTACTCCTACTAATTTAATGAAGACCAGTTTTTTAACCTAATGTTTTCAATTCTGTGGAATTAGCCTCTCATTATATCTAGCCAAGGCAAATATACCAAATGAAAAGTATGAAAATAAATGTTCAGATGTGCTGAGGATGATGGGAATTAAAATCTAATGTATTTCCAGAGTTCTAAACTGAGGAAAAGGTTTTAAATAAATTTCCATTTTTTTTGTTCAGATGAAACAGGACACTAGGATATGTAGAACAAAAGCTTTTAAATACCTTCTGATTAGTGGGGAGAAAAAAAGGGGAAATGCGGGAGTCACAGAAGCCTAGAATCAGTGAGATCATAAGCTCTATGGACAAAATTTCTTATTTAAAGTTAAAGGAGCATAAATTAATGGCTACTAGCTTCAACTGGGCAATTAAAGCCCTGCATTTTTTAAATGTATGATCTTCCTGGACTTTTGTAGGGCATTAAACAAAGTTAAACTACTTCTGTGGTGAATTTGTCTGTGGTCTGAATTAAAATGGGGCTGTTTGGGGGTCTGGCCAAATATTATTACCAAATCTATTTTCTTCTCACTTTATTCGATGTCATTTTTACCTGTAAGGGTTTTTTTTTTTTCAATTTAAGTTAATCACACCAGAGAGTAAGCGAGAGCTGCATGTTTTGACTTGACTAATTTGGATGTTGTCATTACTTAAACAAATAAAATAAAATATCTTGGGATTATATTTTAACTGAATAATTTACTTCCTTGTGCGATGAAAGACTATTTTATTTTCTCTTTGAATAAAGGTTTGAATAAATATTATCTGGCCATTTCTTTAAGAAGGTAAACATGAAGCTCAGAGTTGGAAAGGAAAAAGAAAAAGAAAAAAGAAAGGCAGCTGGTGGCTGGCCAGACTATAAAGCAGAAAAGGAGGAAGCGATAATTATATAATTAAAACAAAGGAAAGCAATACTCAGCCCCTTTTGACATTCTATAATTAAGCATGTTGCTTGTTACATCTCTTTAAGAGAGAAACAACTTGTGTCAATTCATACCATTTCATAAAACAAAAGGGTTTGATTCTTCATTTTTAACTTATTCTGAATAAACAGGGGTGTAATATAATAACACCCCTATCTTAAATCTAAATTCTACAAAAAGAACCGGCATGACCAATGAGGCAAGGAAAGCAGTTATCCATTCCCCACAAAGTGTTTGCAATAAATTACATCACCTCCATCTACCATAACTCCAGTCCTATGACTGAATAAAACAGCAGGAAATTTGGGGTGTGGGGCTAATTATTTATCTGGTCAGTCTCCCTTTTTTCCTTTCATTTTTATAGTGGGCAGTGTGTAAATAAAATGTCACACACCAAAGAGGCTAGGAGGAAGTAAAAACTAGTAAATTTGCAATAGTGGCAAATATCTGTAGCTCAGGTATAAGATGAGGGTGAAGATTCATTCTCGGAGCTTGTGGGTTGATTTCCGAATGTTTCATTACCAGGCTAGGTAACATGACTAGATAAGCAACCCACAAGCTTGGACAGCAGACCTTACAAAAGCACTGAAAAAAAAGACGTATGACCGTTGCAGCTTTCCCATGGTCATGTGATAAAATCTGGATGCTTGACAGCTAATTCATATTTATGACAGTTGCAGTCTCCTGGGGTCATGTGATCACCTTTTTAAACCTTCCCACAAGCAAAGTCAACTGGGAAGCCAGATTCACTTAACAACTGTGTTACTAACTTAACAATTGCAGTGATTCACTTAACAATTGTGGCAAAAAAGGTGGTAAAATCGGGGCAAAACTCACTTGATGAATGTTTTGCTTAGCAACAGATACGTTGGGATCAATTGTGGTTGTAAATCAGGGGTGTCAAACTGGCGACCTGCAAGCCGGATGTATCGTTCACAGGCCACGCCCACCCCAGCTCCGCGAAGGGGGGGAAGTCATGATATGTCATGTGATGGCAATGTGATGGGACGAGTTTGAGACCCATGTTGTAAATTAAGAACTACTTGTAATACTACCATCTGTTAAGCTTACAAATGGGCTTTGCAAGATACTGTAAACTACAGAAGACATCAGAAATTAAAGAGAAGGTTAGTAAATACTTTGTCCAGCATCATTTCATCCTTGAAGTTGGGCCTGATTTTACCATGGATGGTTTTACATGGAAGTGGCTTAGGCTGACTAATACCTGTGCTACCAACTTACAGTTGCCTAATTTAGCTCTATTGCATAGTCAATGGTTTTCCAGTAGTGAAATGAGTCATTCAAACCTAAACTCCCCATTATTTTTTATTAGGATTCACTGGAATTTGAAACCAAAGTTAACTATTATAACTATTAGTTTTAACTTAGCATGCTATATGAACCCCCCAAAAACCTATGGTTTAATGAACACATGGTATTATCATTGGTTTGTATTTCCTAAACTCTAAAAAGTTGAAGAATATTCCATGATAAGTGTTTTCTGAATCAGATGTCTTTTTTCTCTCTCTTCCCTTGTCAGAATGGAGATTGAGAAAACAACGAGGAGGAATTCACTGGAGCAATGCTATTTTACAAAACTGGGCATCAATTCCTCCAAGCAGCAGCTGAAGAACGTCAGCTGTGACAGAAGACAATGGGAAGGTGCAAATCTGCCTATACCAGAAATTGCTTCAGCAGAGAGGTTGTGACCTGAATTCCAGTGGCTCCGAGTCATTAACAGCATCAGAGAGCACAGGAAAAACAGCTTCAGGTCTTGCCAATTGTATACAAAATGAGACAGATTTGCAAATGCAAAAAGTAGGATTTCATTAATAACTAGTGCGCAAGAAGCTCAAGAGCTACTGCTTTGGGGGCTGAGGTCTAACTATTCAAGATAATTTCAAGATACTTACGTAACCCACTTTATATAGATGTTCTTTGTAGATCCATTTAGCCTCTTGCCTTATATAATAATTTCGTCAGTGCAGAGATACTTGTTTTATAACTTCCTATCACAAACTGTACCAACTTGTACAATGAGAACCCAATGTGTGTGTGTGTGTATCAAAGTAGACAAGTTACAGAAAAACTGCAACACTGGTTTTTTTTGAAAAACAAACAAATTTAGTAGTATTATCTTATCTGAAAGGTTACGTCTTTCTCTCCGCATTCTCCTCTGCCTTAAAAGTTCAAAGTTACCTTACTAAAAAGAGAAGCGTTTCATACATTTTGAAACTAATAGCTTAAGGAGTTTAATTTACCATTTGGCAATTATTATTCAAGCAGTGAAACTATTATATTTGATTGCAATCTTATACCTGGAAGTAAAATCTACTGGACCAGTGGTGGTATTCAAATATTTTTACTACCAGTTCTGTGGGTGTGGCTTGGTGGGCATGGTAGGGGAAGGATACTGCAAAATCCCCATTTCCACCCCACTCCAGGGGAAGGATACTGCAAAATCCCTATTCCCTCCCCACCCCACTAACCTGCTTTCCAGCTCCGTTCTCCTGTGCAGGGCAACCAAAGAAGACCCAGCCGATCAGCTGGGACTCAGGAGGCAGAGAAGAGATGGGGGTGGGGCCAGTCAGAGGTGATATTTGCCAGTTCTCCAAACTACTCAAAATTTCCGCTACCAGTTCTGCAGAACTGGTGAGAACTGGCTGAATACCACCTCTGTATTGGACTCAGTAGAATTTGCTTCTGAGTATACAGAAGTAGTCCTTGACTTAAACCACAATTGGGATTAGAATTTTCATTGCTAAGCAAGGCAGTCATTAAGTGAATCACAGAAGCATGAAAGTTAGATACAAAGGAAACGGGGCATTTATGAACAGATAAGGTCAAGAATTAGTGAATGAAGGATGAATGCAGATGAAAGAAGTATCAAGTATGAAAGAAGTAGGCTGAGATGATTTGACCATATTAAAACAAAGAATGAGGACAGAATCATAAAATGAATATATGAAGAAGTTGAATGAGTCAAGAGGAAAAGAAGAGTCAAAAACAATCATGGCTGTATAGATTTAGACAGAATTGATAAAATCTCAAAAAGAGGAACGTATTTGGCAGAGCAGAGTTGTGCTGAAAGCAAGGATGATTTGCAAGTTTAGAATAGTATAAAGAGGAATAATTGATACAAGCTAGATTTAGCCAGATTTCATTTGGTGTTCTTTTCTGGGTTTTGTTTGCTCATGTTTTTGTTTTTTAGTTTATTGTGGTTTAGCAATGAAATTTCTCATTGTATCAGCAGTTTTTTTTTAAGATCATCCTTTAGTTTCTGGATCACTTAAACAAAACTGAACAAAGAGGTTTTGAAAAAAAAAAAGAACCGCTCTTTAAGAAAGAACAGAGGAACAGCAAACTGGGAATACTTCCAGATGCCCATATCTTTATCCAAAGCCTACTGATGTCAGACGGAAAACACAACTAAGCTAGTATTTTAATTTCTGCATTTTCATTACCATCCTGACCCATGTAAGCTTAGTGGATAAAAAAAAAGTCTGGAATATCTGATGGTAAAAATATTGATCTATGAATGTTCTTGCAGTCTTTCAAGCCCGCCAATCAATTTTCTGCTTTTGCCACCCATTTGTTCTTTTACAGATTGTTCTTTTGCTGAGGAACAAAAGGCAGTGAATGAATCAGTGTATGGAGGTGGTGGAAGCAAGGATGATTTGCAAGGACAGAAAGATATGGGAAGGCCTAATTTATAAACTGATGTACTAATGTATATTTCTCTTTCTTTGGCTTATCACAAACTGAGGTAAATAAAATAATACACATTATGCTTTAAACTGCTTTCACTCCAACATATGACCATTAAAATCAAGGTTGTCCTGCAAGTCCATTTTAAGTCTAAAATCTAAAATTATCTAACTATATTGCATCTCTTTGCCTGTGCTTTTTACCGCTCAGTTAAATTATTTCTAATTCCTCTGTTATCCACATTATGTCCACCAATGTAAATGTATACTGTACATAAATGCTGGTGAACATAGTGGCTGTTTCTGTTTGTCAGAAATATTATATCTTTAAAGGCATTCCATTCTGTGAAATTCATTGCTTCAAACTTTTTTTTTTAACCTTACAAAACTTAGCTTGGATAAATTCAGGAATATTTTTCCGCTACTTATCAATTATGGATTTCTTCAAAGATTTGTAAAAATAATAAGTAAATGAAATGAAATAAATATAATTCCTTCCTCAGGCAGAAGTGATAGAGTGGATAGAGAAACCAACTGTTGTGACTGTATCTCTTCATACATCAGAGAGAATATCCCAATGGAAATGAAATAGTAAAGCGCCCAGTAAATATAATTATTTTCTGTCATAGATACAGCTGAAATAATTACAAAGAAAAATAAACCCATAGTTGCTGCTTGCAGCATATTTACCTAAATGCAATGGGATGGATTAATTATGAGCAAACATGGCAGGTCTGGAACACCAGAAAGTTGTTCTTCTTTCCCATTTGCGCATAAAATCTAAAGAACTTCTTACTGTAGCTGTATTTACATGTAACACTAACGCCAACACAAATCCAGATACAATGAAATGTTCCATGATGCTGGTCATTCTAAATGTCTTCATGGACTTAAATCAACATCCATTTCCATTCAGACTCGCATTGTCCTTGCCAGCTAAATTACTCAATTAATCAGCTATCGTATAGTACTCTACCTCGACTTGAACCTTGTATTCTTCTTGGAAAGTTTTGTGTTCAGTGAACCTATTATACATTAACTCTTTAGTTGCCTTAATGTAGTACCCTGCACTAAATGTTCACCTACAGAAAAAGAAATGAAGTTCAGTCAAGATCAGCAACAGACATATATGAGCAAGGGAGAATAAATAATTAGTTCTGGAGTTGGGAAGAATCAATAAGGGAGAATTTATCAGAAAGGCGAGGGGTGGGGGAAAGAAAATCACTGAAAGGAAATGGTTCTGTCAAACCTACAAGTCCAACAGTCCTTTGCATTTTCATGACAGCATCATTTGATTTGTAGTCTAATAATTAGGAATTTACAGTATTTTCTGAAAAGATTTCAGGCATGGGATTCAAGACTGGCATCTGACTAAAGTTGACCTTTGAACGTTCAGATGTTAAACAACATGCTTAGAGCAGACACAGATTGGAAAAAAGAAACTACTTATTCTTTACTGCTTAAAATGGGTTGCCAGGTTAATATACTGGGTTAATACACCTATATTACCTATCACAACCTCCAGTTGTGTTGAATTTCTCCTCTTGTCACCTTTTGGTTGACTAGGAATGATTGAAGTTGAATCCCATTTTGGGAAGATAAAGTTTAAGAAGGAGGATCTAATTGCTGGTCCCTGCTCAACATGCTAGTAACTTTTTTAAAGAAATGTTTTGCATGGGAGCCTACCCCAAATACATGGAGTAAACATCTCATACTTTTAATTATAGCAAAAGCAGGTGCTTCTTAAATAATATTTGCTGATGGGGAAAATGTCAAATAGATGCCGAAGTGACAGATTTAAAGTGAGAAGGGTGGCACTGTCTCAGGAAGCTAATCAACAACATGAAACAATAATTATCTCTTCTAAATCATCCAGACCTGTCTGTCACCTTTTCTTTAACTGTGAGGAGTTGAGATACTTGTGTCTCTTAAAGTTTTGCATTGGAAACGAAGACAATATTCACTTTGCAGGTTAAAGATCTGCCTGAACTCTGTACACCTTATGGAAGAAGAGGCCTTTGTTAACTTTAATAAACATATTTGAGTGATATTCGATGTTTAATTTGGTCTCTATTGAGACTTTCAACATGTATTTAACTTCTGTGTTAGCCATTGAGAGAAGTTTGAGCAAACAATTTCCCAGAAAGGAATCATATTTAGCTCAGAGGTCTGCAGCTACTGACCTACTAAACTAGAATAACTTTTCATTTATTTTCTCTTAGCCTTTTCAGGAAAGTATTATATCCTGACCATTACAACCTTCAACCAAATTATATAAAATGATTAATTACTCAGGAAGGGCAAGGTTTTTAAGCCTTCTCATAGGAGATAAAAGAAACAGCCCTATGTGTCAGATTTGAGATGCTGCCAAAAACCTATAAATGGATGGAAAGTTAACTTAGGTGTAGCATCCATCAGCAGGGAGAGATCGCAGACCTCTTTCACTATTTTTATATTTCTCTAAAAGTTGTTTCTCCCCATCTAATAATTTTTCAAAGGGAAGATATGATTCCTGGGCAAAGACAAAAAATTGTAAAGAATGTCTACTGAGGATGCCCCTTTGCTGTGCTATATTTTAATTGCTCTCCTGCCTTTAGTGCACTATATTGCAAACCAATACATCCTGCATTGTGGCAAACTATGACTCCATTAATTCTGCTTTGATTCTGAAATGCAAATTACAAGACATGCTCCCGATTTATCACCTTAACAATTTGCAAGTGTAGGGATAAAGTGAATTTTTAAACAAGTAATAAAAGTTAAATCCCTTGTGGTCCTTTGAAAATCAAGAAATTAACTCTTTTGTGGTACATTTCCCTTATCCTCACTGAATGTGATAATAAGACTAAGGAATCGCTGCTGACACTGTGACTTACCTAGTATAATTAATACCAGGAGAATATCAGTTTTTTAACATCATCCTCCATTGCCGAGAGCCAACTTGGTGAATTAGCTGAAGCATCTGGCTAGAAACTAGGAGACTGTGAGTTTTAATTCCATCTTAGGCACAGGCCAGCATTGTGACCTTAAGTTTGCCCCTACTTTCAGTCCTAAAAAAGGGAATTGGCAAGCTGCTTTTAAAAAAAGCTGCTAAGAAAATTGCAGGGGACTGTCACCAAGACTCAAAACAGATTTGAAAACACTTTTATTTTCTTCATTTTAGATGTGCTATGCTGCACTACTGACAGCTGAACAGCTGTTTGCCACATGGGCAGCCAACTCCACACTCACCAACAGCCTCTTCATCTCCTTTGGTAATATCCTCCTTACTGCCTGCATCCAAAGTAGACCCCATTGCTACATTACCGTTGCTAGCCTACTTCAGTAAAAAGAACCCAGCACGTAGTCTCATAATTCTAAAATTAAGTGGTAGGTCTTACTAGTCACATTTTCTTTCCTATTTGCCTCTACATAAAAGCATGGCTCCTTGGGTATGGGTGGGAATTTGAGTGACTCAGCAACTCAAATGTATGAGAAGTTTTCTTAGCTTTAGATGTTACTCCTGAGACTTGGTTGTTTCTCTGAGTGCTTTGGAAAGGGCTACAAAGGGAAAGAGAGAATTGCTCTCTCCTGTTCTCTTTGGTTTGATGGGACTGTTTGCATTAGCAAAAGCACAAAAGTATCACCTTTGCCCTTCTAAAGTCATTTTACATTTAACTTACATGACTCATTCTGCTTTCCTACAAAACTATGTGTCCGCAAAAATCCTCCTTCCCATTTAAATATATTTCATAACTCAAAAATAGACTGAGGATAAGGCTGCCTTTCTTGACAAGTTGAACAGCAGATTTAAACAGACTCCATCCATTTCCTAACGTAAATGTCATGTAATCCATCTACCGCTGCTCCAGTTATAAATGATATTGGGGATGTTTTGTCAGAGAAATTGTTCTAGAGATTCCAGGAAAACACTTCCCAAATTCCCCCTTTTCCGTTCCCGGTTCACATTTGACAAAGACTCAGTATTTGCATAATGACAAAAAAAATCTCTGATGAAGGGCCAGTTCACCGTGGTAGAATGATTCAGACTCAAAGCAAGCACGACAAAGCTGACTTTTTTCCCCTTCCTCTTTCAAATGACAGGATAACATACACTTCTGAATTGTGATAAATGCAGAAGGATGTCTGATGAGACGTGGTGAATGAATTGCACACACATACAATGGAAAATCTTTGATCCAGAGGTGTTCTGTAGGTATTTGATTGTTCAGACAATACAGAGTACATCCCACATGTGTGAACCAGGTATGTCTAGACACAGACGCCCCACAAAATATGAGATACCTTCCCACTTGATCTTCAGCAAGACATGGGGAGTCGCTGCATTTGGAAGGGCAAAGGGTCAGTGGCCCAGCCCCACTGAAGGTTCCTAGTGATAAAACCACAAGGTATCCAAGGTCTAAGCCTGAACTGGGACCTTGCCTGCCACCATCTCTGTACAGCCAGGTGGGAGGAGAACCCCTGCCTCAAGTAAATGAAGCTATCTCCTGAATGTGTGGTCCTGCTCATGAAATAGTTGCTGCCTACTTTGATAATAAAGGTAAAGGTTCCCCTCGCACATACATGCTAGTCGTTTCTGGCTCTAGGGGGTGGTGCTCATCTTTGTTATAAAGCTGAAGAACCATCACTAACCGAAGACATCTCCGTGGTCATGTGGCCAGCATGACTAAATGTTGAAGGTGCATGGAATGCTGTTACCTTCCCACCAAAGTGGTCCCTATTTTTCTAGTTGCATTATTACATGCTTTCAAACTGCTAGGTTGGCAGAAGCTGGGACAAGTAATGGGAGCTCACTCCATTACGCGGTGCTAGGGATTCAAACAGCTGAACTGCTGACCTTTCTGATCGACAAGCTCAGCATCTTAGCCACTGAGCCACCACGTCCCTTACTTTGATAATACCTCGCCTCAAAAAATATTATAACAAATACTTATCATTTTAGTACAGTGAATTTTATATGATTACAATGCAATGAATTTAAATAGTGCAGGGTTTTTTAAAACATGCTTTGCCTCCAGGGGAGCAAAACTGCAGGCAGCCTGGGTGTGGGAACTAGGCACTGGGGTCCCCTCCAACACCCTTTTTCCCTCTAGCAACAGCCACCATTTTGTTCCCGAGTCCTGCCCAAGGTAACCCAGACAGGAATGAGACCCTCCTGCCTGCTCTCACCTTTACCCTTTTCCAAGGCTGGTTCTTCCTCAGTTTCTTCCTGGTGACAACACAGTGGTGCTGGTGCTAAGCCTGCACCTTCAGATGTGCAAGACTGATGTCAGCTCCATCAGATAGACCAGACTAAAAATTAGACACCCTGCAGACTTGAGCTACCTTTATTAAAACAGTTATATTAATAGAACCATGCATGTCTGAATATGTTACCTTTCCTCTTTTTTTTTTTTTAAAGAGACAGGAACAGTCTGAGGTGTTTCCACAAATATTTCTTGGGTTCAAGTTTTATTTATTTGATCATGACCTTGGTAGCCAATCCTCCCTCTGTCCTTTTAAGGACATCTTCTTTTTCTACTATACCAGTACACTCAGCAAAAACAGAAATGCTGGCCTTATTTGCCCACCCCTTCAACACCCTCTCCCCCAAAGAAACAAATTACCTGTGGCTGAAAAGCACTACGGGGTGGTATACAAGTGCTATTGCTATTGCACCTTATTAAAGGCAGTTGAGTATCAAGTTCAGGCCTGAGGGGACTTTGGAATAAAACCTGTGGAGGAGAGTAGTCAGGATCAGAGGATACAAAGGGCTCATTGTGGACTGAAGCATTTGTCAGAACAAGCCGACTGTTCCTTGGGCTTTGGGGATTTGACTCTGCCTATTCTTCTTTGTGGGATATGTTTACTGAAACCTGCCTGCTTATTTCTACTACATCTATCCTCTCTATTCATCGCAGGATGGTACAACCGGATCCTTTGGGTCAACAATTCAATTTAGGCCCCTGACTAAGTAAATTCTTCTTATATCTACCAGAAAGGTCAACTGTCTTCTTGTAAAAGCTCTCATTAAATGACCGTGCGTGTTTAATTTGCTGCTATATCACAATCTTTCGGAAAATATTTGCTGAGTAATACCCCACTGCACTGCAGGCTCTGACAGAAGACGGGGAAAAAAATCTTTAAAACACTGGCCAAGAAGAAGAACTATTGCTTTGCATAATTAGGTGCCTTAGGTGGAAAACTAATGGGTATTATATACTGCAGCATGCAACAAACAGTAAATTTAAATCAATATTAACTAGATTTTCGAAATAGAAAATAATTTTATAAGAAGACACTGAACTTGAGGAACAGAAAACAATTATTGTAAGAAATGACTGTTTTAAGACCTGAAGGATCTGAAGCATTTTCCCTTATTTACAATATTTAGCTATTTTAGTATTGGTAAAATAAATGCTATTCATATATCTACACAATAAGATGTTTGTAACAAATAGCCTTATATAGTATATACCAATACAGTTTATGACCTTAATACTCTAAATCCTATTAGCAACACTGGCTTCCAATATTTGGGGGATTAAAGTACCCAAGGGATTCTGGAACATTTGTTCTTGAGAAAAGATGTCATGCAGAGTTGAACAAATCTGTCTGTTTATTAAAGGAATAGAATATATTGTTTAAAGATCTGTCTTATATAAACTAGCTCATGAAGTTCAAAGAGGTATTCTACATATGTATTATACTCTTAGTACATGATGCTGAACCAAGAGCTCCCCATCCTATGGGTGACAACAAGGAGCTATATTCAAAACAGGTTTATATCTCTCATCTAAAATGTGTTCAACTGAATGGAATTTCCAGAGTAGCAATAGAAAAACACCAGGCCCTATTGTCTCTCTCACTCTCTTTCTTTCTTTTCCAGAGAGGCTGCCTTCTAATCTTACTAGTTATGCCAAAACAAGCTATAATTCCCAGGTGGAGCATTCTCAGCTTCTGATATTTGGAAAGAACAGAGCTAAACCTAGCCTTATATCTGGTAGCCCTCCATACATCCAATTAAATCT